CATAACAGACCTGTACGGCAAGACAGTGTTTTGTATTTATCTCTAAAAAAAATTAAAGAAGCTAGGAATTGAAAAGGAGCGCCTAGAGGTTACTTGAGGATGTAACAGCATTGTAAACCTACCACTTCAACTGGAAACATCGTTCTCAGTTTTCAAAAGGGATGAATGACACTATATTTGATTAGGGCATAGAGTCCTGACCATTTTGATATCCATCATAACAGAATCTTAACACTTACAGATGGAAGCAGTGGTTTGAATGAACAACTTTCCAGAAATTATCTACTTCCTTCCAATAGTTTGTGTGAAGACTGTTTGATAGCCACGCTTATGACAAATCCAAGTAGATAACGAATTATTTTTTCTTTGAAATTTTCTGCTCTATTTTCTCTTTGGTAGAAGATCGAGTTTGAGGTTCCGCTATGTTACATGCGGGCATAGCAGCATCGTACGCCATCCACTCGAACTGGAACTTTGTTGCATGACACTACATCGTAGAAGAGCATGGAGTGTAAGTATTTTGATACCCTTCACGACAATTCCCAACAATTTCAACTAGAAGCGGTGATTTTACGTGCCATCTCGATCATTTCGCGATTCTAATCACGATTTCGGTGAGCGATGGTGCGAATCTAGACAGGGGGCACAATGAGAAATGCTTTTTGATCAACAAAAAGTCTTGATGATGCCTATTCAACGAATGCCGAGTGAGATCTCAAGTAGAGAGGAATTTGTTGAATTGTGACCAAATAAAACATAGCACGTATCGCCTTACAATAAGTGTTATGGTTAGTCATGAAACTATGTAAAATTTGATGGCCGGATCGCCTTCTGATAACGCTGTGCTGGTCAGCCCCTCATCATCGATCTCTATTGACCCGTGGCCTTCGCTGCTGTCGTGTCTATGAAAGAGCACGCCTTATGCCAGATAATATTTAACATTAACAGAAATTCTTTTTCGAATACTATGCTCGATACAGTACCACGACAGTTTTCTGATTCAAGTCCTCCCTATTACAGCTCTCCTTTTCAGATATTGGTTTCAGTTTCGTTATGAGGGAGTCTTGAAAGTCAGATTGTTTGAAGATATCGGGAGGAACTGATTGTTTTGATACCCTTTTCGGAAGAGTTCAGGCAAATCAGCTGAGAATGAAATTTCGCTTCGATATGCTCTGAAAATTTCTGTTTTCCGAGGAAACATAGTCACCATTAGATAAGATGAAGTGCTGTCGATTTTCTTTTGAGTTACTGAGGATTAAGAATTCGTATTCATGTCAAATCAAAATTCAAATAACATACATATATACACACATATGTCACCTGTTAGTTGATAGTGGAGCCAATAACTTGACCCCGCGTTGTCGATCTCCCCAGGACTCTGTCTGCGAGGCCATGTTCCTCGAGCTACATGAGTGCAATTACCCGGAGTTGTATTGTACTGTGTCTATATCCGACATTATCAAGGAAAACTATGCTACAAGTATGCTAAAAATGTCGTGTGAAGAAACGTCGATAGTAGACTCGATGGAGATAAGAGGGCCCATGAGGTAAGAAATAAATTCCCTAATCAAATACATTCAGTAGTGAGGTTCAGAGAAACAAGAGAGTTTTCTGTTTTTGGTGGGGATGCGAGGATTACTTTCTCTCTGAGGTTGGCTTTGATGTTCGTAAGGTCGTTGATCAGATAGGAAGTGCTTAGTCCATTTTATAATGAAACCAGTTTGGCTATGCACGCTAACGCGCGCAGTATATGTCGATGGACACTTATCCACGATGGAGTCATTCAGCGGAATGTTGGATAATCAGAATAAGATAGTTCTTTCTAGATTCGAACGCTGAACTGCTGATAGCATCACGCTCGATATATTTGAGCACAGTTATTAGTGGTTTTAGAACGTTTCTGAACAGAGTTATGAAATTTTGATCTAAGCCCCGCCCACTTTGGTGCCAGCCCCGCCCACTTCGAAGATTCGGCCACACTTGTTCTTTTACACCTTGACACCTTTTTCCCGCATCCCAGCACGTTTCTGAACAGAGCTGTGAAATTTTGATTTAAGCCCCGCCCACTTTGGTGCTAACTCCGCCCACTTTCGGGACTTGACCACATTTGTCACATTACCTCTAACCACTTTTTTTCCGCATTCTATAACCTTTCCGAACGAAGTTACACTAATTTTTAAAAAGTAGCTTTCACCTAAACGCACGCCCCACCCCTCGTAGGCGGGGCTCCGCTATACTTATGCAAGCTCAGCACGCATAAGGCCTTGCTCACTCTTTTTATTTTTTTCCTGTCCTCGACGCCTTCGTTAAATCGAGTTATGAATCTCTGTGGAAAGTACCGCCCACTGCGAGAACGCTCCGCCCACCGCCGGTAAGTTTCCTTTATTTTGATTGCTGACCCATCCCTCACCTATGCACATTTTTTCCCAGTGTCTGGAACATTATGAGACCGAATCAGAAGAATTCGCCCATGACCCCGCCCAATTCCGGCGCATGCCCCGCCCCTTGGGGGCGGAGCTCCGCTAGGCTCGCATGTGCTCTGTTGCACTTACCCTATGCTCAACCCATTCCAAACTTGACCCGACCTCTCGAGATGTTTCTTCACGTTATATCGAATTTCCGTACAAACAAACAAACAAACAAACAGACAGACAGACAGAACGCTTTATATATAGTAAAGATAGCCTTGCGCTCCCTTTGTGGACGCAACGTGTAAATCAATAAGACTAGTGAGTAAATGGTATCGTAAAATGGCCTGAACGATGACAGTCGACCGGCCATTTCCTGATGTTACTGGTGTTTAGTCTGAGCCACTGTCATTCGATCGAAAGAGATGTTCGCAAGTTCTATCGGTTTAATGGAAGAAGAAGGAGTTCAGAAAGAGTTTTTGCGTTTCATGCTTGCAGTCGACTGGGATTCATAAGAATTCGAATCCGCCGTCATGCACAGCGCTTGCAGACGCTCAAGCAACATCGTTTGGACTGAGCTACTTGGGCCTTGACTGGGGGGCACTGATACTTAAGTATCAGATCCCCAGTTCCCTAACATGCGGAGCTGGAGGGAAAATCAAGAAAACTGTTTGAAGCTGCAAAAATTGTAGTTGCAAGCGACTCGTAGTAGTACTATTAGGCTTCATACTCAACGTTGAACTGCATTTCTCGAAGTGTTTCCGTTTCTTTCTGTCAGTTGCATACAATAATGTGTCACTAAACGTGCTGGTCTAATGGACACAGTCACAGCGAAGGCGATGCACCAATAAAGATTGATAGCGAGGGGTCAATTAGCTCAACTTCTAGTTAGAAACCGATTCGGGCCAACTTGATTTTGCATAATAACAAACTTGCAAATTCTTTTCTACGGTAGTCTTTTACACGCCACATCGACGCTAATCAACACTGGAAGCAATCGTGAAATGCATATCAATTGAAAAGTAATATGAACTTTGAAATGAGAATTTGTGTCGACCATATACCTGCTGCTATTCTAGCATGTTCTGTAGTCTTGCATCACATAATTGAAGCCCTTCTTAAATGCAAAACTACTCTCCTCCCATGAAATGCATCTCCGGAAGGAACTGGCCAATTCTCGAATAAATATAAATTTAAATCACTGTTTTCAGATGAAAGTGTAGAGATAGTGTCATAAAGAATATCAAAGTGAACAGGATTCTATCCTTCCCTCGGATATGGAGCCAAACATCCCCTCCTAGAATTGGAAAAGATATTTTCAGTTGAAGTGGAGGGTTCATTCACGGTGATTCTAGGTCCGCAACTAACAGCTCCAGTACTTGAAGACTCACTCTTCGATCCTCATGAAAATGAAGCTGCAAGTTTGAAGAAAATCAAAGATCAAACCATTCGACTTACATTCAACTTAGGCCGCTAGAAAGAAGTTGCAAATGTACGAAAACTGGGTGATCCAACCATCGCTTCCAGTTGAAGGTGTTGAGATTGAGGAATACACGCGTGACCTCACCTGAGTTCTTCGTGCTCCTGAGCACGCGACGTATCGCGCAGCAGATTACCTACGGATTTCGATGCGGTCGCTACAGCACTTTTCGCCGAGATGGACCAAACAAGATCCGCACCGGACCTTGGCTTTACTATGGCAATAAACCCCTCTCGATTCCTAGGGTTTACTTCATAAGTCAGGTTTCTATTTCCCTCGTAATGATAGTAGGCATAATGTTAGAGCGCGTCTCGTCCACGGCACCGGGAAGCCGTACGCCTCGCCCTGCACGAGAGACGACATCATTATATTGACGCGTGAATCGCGCCACACCCGTTGGAAGTACGTGATGAAAGATATCAAAAAAATCAAAATTCTGTGCTCTCATCGAACATAGTGTCATTCATCCCTTCAAGAACTAAAAGCGAGGTTTTTAGTTGAAGTGAGGTTAACGATGCTGTTATACTCACAAGTAACTCTCTTGGTGCTGTGAGACTCAATTAACCTTTTCCTGAGAATGAATGCAAAATAATAAAGGGGAAAACTGGGATTCTTTTTTACATGTCTGAATTCTTCGCGAGTAGAGCTTTCCGCTGATCTAACTTTCGATTTAACTGGCAATTTTGAGAAAAGTTATGGCAAAGCGACAGTTTGCGACGGAATAATTGACGACGACTTGACGGGTTTGCGACGGAGTTGCGACCAAACAGATTAATCTGACGCAAAGCGTCGGTTGACCTAGCATCAGTAGCAGGATTATACTAACAAGATGGCCTCAAGGACGCTGCTTCTGCTACAGCCACGCTATTCCGTCGGGTAATATTCCATTGTAGTGCAGTTCTTCTTCGATTTCCCCTGCCTTTCCATTGCGTCTAGTAGTGACACAAAAGTAGAATTTCCTCGCGCGCAGTTGCATGTCGAAGCCTCAATTCAATTGTATTGACTGGTGCTACAAATAAACTAAAGTAATCATCAATTTACTCATAATCCTGCAGCTAGAACTTGTGTAACAGAATGATACTATCATTTATTCCTCGTGCATTTAGCTGCTGATGGATTGTAATACCATCTCGAGTATTTCTCTGAAAGGTGATCTGAAAAGTTAACAAGGCCTAGAGGGTATCTGAATAAACCTATTCTGCAAGATTACATTGATCCACGACCACTTTGAGAACAATACAACTTTGTGTCGAGACTGATCAAAAGTCAAGATGGAAGGCAGTGTCCCGGCAAAGCTGTTAATAACTGGCACAATTTCATCGAGTGCATAAGCATCTTGAAGACTCCCTGTTCCTTGACATTTGAAGACTTAAAGATAATGAACTTTCCGAGAGTGGTTATTAGGTTCATCATTCGTACATCCCTCGTAAACAAAAATTCAGCAGTGTCATTCAAAGACATTTGAGAACTGGTCCGAGGTTAGCCTCCGATTCAAAGTCTACAATTTGAAAGAGTTAGAATAGTTGTCAATTATGTGGATTTCCATTTTAGTCTAGGATCGGCGCGAATGGAGAAAGCAGAAGTTGATCATTCGAAAGAGCACATTTTATTGATAGGAAAAAAAATCAAGTATTTTGGCAACGTACGTTCTCTTTTGATCCGGAAAATTTTCTGGAGCACATGATGTATCAAAATTTGACGGAACCGAGGAAGATTCAACTTGATCACATTCCCTACCTGAACGAAAAAATTTGCACGACCTACAGTTCATTAAGTTTTGGAGACAATCAGTGGAAGTCATTTATCGTCGTTTTCCACGATTCCTGCTATCTACTCGCCCCGGCTTTTAATTTGTGATATAGCTCCCTTAACTAAAGTTGGGGGCTAATCCACATCTCCCTCCGGAGAATCGTTTAACGGATAGAAAAATGGACATGAGATCTATATAGAGAACCTATTCTCTGCAGGAGACATTGTGAAAATAACTAAAAAAGCGGCTCTGAAATCTCGGAGATAAGCTCAGAAAAGCGAATTCTAGTAAGGCAGAACATTTTTATTGGTATATCCTTGTTTTGTAACTGATCAATATGTTCTCAGGTTCCGCTCACTCGACTTCCGGTTTGAATCGGAACGGTGACTTGTAGAATAAGCTACTCGTCAGTGCTTTCATACTGCTGCTGTCCACAATCAACAGACGGCAGCCTTTTACGATATTGAGGAATTTCATAACACACTTAACCCTTTGACGACAACGCCGATTTCGACGTGACGCGCCATGGGACCACGCCCTCTTACTTTCGTGATGCCATGATCGCAGGAGGAACTCCGTTCTCTGGCCTAATAAATTTATAATAGCAATATTTCCGCGTAACAGAAGCATCAGACCTTATTTTATCTTATATAAAAATGAGGCTTAGGATTGCATTTCGGGTTTGGAAGCAACTTAGGTTACAATTTTGGTAATAGTGTAAGCAGTATGGCAGCAGTATTCGTATAACCTCCAAGGAAGGTGAGGATAAAGAGATCGACCGCGTAGTCACATAATCGCAAAAGGGGTAATCTAAGTACTGTCTCCAATGCTTCCCGAACACACACACAAAACTTGTCACAGTAACTAAATTTTCAGTAATGCACCATTGACTATATATGTTTGTAATAAATAAGCTCCTATAAAACATTCACGTGGACCATGATGAATATGAATTCCATGGGGTTTGTTAATATATATGAAAATATCAAATAAGTTCAGATGGAAAACAAATAAAGGAAAAAACATGGTTGCACCCAACTTTCCCCACGGTCCTATGCGCCAGTCATAGTGGCATCCACCAGCGGGTGCCATGGTCGTCAAAGGATTAATCAAATGCAAGCGTTTCTACTGAGATGTAGAACTGAATATCATCAGGCGGCGTGCTTTGATGAAATGCTCACATTTTTTTCAAACAATACTCGGTCACATTATCGAATTTTCAGAATACTTGAAAAGCAGTGCAAATAAGTGGTGTAAAAGTCACTCGTTATTGGGACCTTTGCTTTATTTCCTGTCTCGGACGCTTTCATCGCTTTTCACTCTAGCTGTTTGCTATGAAAATGCCCTATCTCTTCTAATGTCAACACTAGGGTTTTTTCATTTCTTCTTCATATATCCATAAGAACATGAAGAAGGGGAGCGCTGAATCTTCTATTTCCATAAGCTCGGCATGTGTGGTGTGGGATACATATTCGGCTCTTTTTCGGGGTTTCCATTGGAAACTTCAAACTTAATGCACATAACTAAAAATGAGCCACTGATTGAACTTTCAGTGATTCTTTTATCAAATGCGCGCTGAACCCCATTTTAGTAGTTAGCAGCTTGTAAAAACTATTGGTGGAAGTTACATCTTAACTTTTTTGCTCGCTATCCGGCCTACCGCAAACCCTGGATACCCTTTTTCGTCCCTCACGCCCCTCATTTTGCACCGAGCATAACAAATGTCAAACGAAATGATGAGAGGAAGTCATTTCTCCCTGTGAACCCTGTAATCACCACCATAACAAACCATTGATTTCATCATCCTGATCAGAGAATCAAGTTGCACATAGTAAAATGATCTCTCTCTGTTGCCGTTTTTCTTCCAACCGAATGCGATATGTGCGCGTGCAATCAAAAATACATTGCATCGGCGAATTGAGGCTGGAAACTTTTCAATCAATTACGATATTTAAGTAAATTTCAACCTTTTGCTTCATTTTCGAGCGTTATACACTGCTGAAAATAATTCCTGAATATCTTTGAAATCGGCGGCTTGGTATGAGCAGCTCATGGCGAAAGACAATCGTTAACCATGGCTAAGCTTATACAGCTCTGCCTCGTTTGCGTCTTCTGAATAGACACAGATGCGGGAGCACTGGAACTGAAATTATGGGGCACTGAATCAGAAAAATATATGGCAGAAATAAATTATTGACCTTTCCATTCGCTATCGTTTAGTTGCACAAGTAGGTTTCCTCGCAGTAGTTGCTAAAGTGACTCAATATGTCACATATAATATAGTGACTCAGCCACTCAATATGTTTTTCAGTATATGGTGAAGGCTCATTTGAAGCTACTTGAAAATATCCGCATGCAAGAGGCGAAAGGGCCCAGTAAAATTCTTTGTGATTCTATTAATGACTGTACTGAAGACTATCAAACGATTAAGAGAAGCAAAGTCATCAAAAGGCAAAGCCGGAAGGGTCGGAGGGATCAGTATTGTCAGAAGTAGCTCTGTCAAATCATACCACCTACAATTCGATCGTGATCTTGGGTGGGCCATCAGAAAGAACAAGGGAGCAAGTTTTATCAAAGTTGTTGATGAGGCGTTTTGCCAAACAAAAGTTTCGATGCCATTTATATTTCATGCTGGAATATCACTTCATTTTCGATTTTAACAGGCAACGTAGGGTCAAATAATTCACTACAGTGGAACACGCACTCCTCTTTGACAAGAATGTTTTCACGAGAAAGCCTAATCCTAACAAATAAAGCGGTCGCGTGTGGATTAAAAAATCGGAAGTGCAACCGTTCCGTCGTTACCGACATGAAAGTTGAAAAAGACGTATAATCAAAGAGCCTATTGATAGAGGTACTAAAACATTGGTCGAATTCTGCTCACCGAAACAGTCCGTAGTTCTTTAAGCTGAACGGTACTCCAGCCCATAGTGACATGCTCGCCTAAGAGTCGCGCCGATGCCAGCTGAACGAATTCATTACCATAGAGAGATGGTCATATTGCTCTTCAGATCCTAACCCACTCGATTCCTCCATTTGAGCCCTGATAGGAAAAGGTCCTGTTTGCTTGCGGCTTCAATTCGAACTCCTCAGAAGCAAGACTCCATAACGGCTGGGAAGAAATAGAGGAAGGAGCTTGTGTGCTCCATGCGAGAAGTTCAGACTTTGGACCTAGACCCGTGCTAGTGGGGGATAGCGTTCAAACTTGGTAGGAGTACAGGGGTCAGGTAACACTTATGTTGGGTGGCAAGACCAGGCTCCGAATACAGAGGGAGGGGTTTGCGCGAAATGAATATTCTAGCAGGTTACTAGCTAGGTGCTCTTCAACTCGTGAAGCTAGATGTCTTCCCGTCTCACGCTTGAGGTCCGCGGGAACAGTAGTTATGTATTCCCGGTCGAGCAAACATACAAACACACAGACAGCGCGTTATATAAGTAGAATATAAAAAAATGTATATAATACAAGCAAGGAGACCTACATCAAGTGTAACTGGCTATGAAAAACAATTTTTAGGAATCTTGGCTTTTCTTTGCTATAATGTGAGATTATTCGATTTTGCCGCATTTTTCTGCCATTATGTAAAACATAATCAAGCGCAGTTTCGCAGTTCAGGGTGCTAATAGAGCAGGGTCTATAGAGTTAGCTCACCGGATTGCGCAGGAGAATGGCTATGGTTGCGATGGACAGCCTGTCTGGTGGAGATGACGTGCTAGGATAGAGTATGCACAAGAGAAAGTGCGAATAATGCTACAGTCCTCTAGACCTTTCGTTTCGGATGATATGAGCGCTGCTATTCGCTCCTATCTCCGAAAACCTGGCATACAAAACAGAAAAATGTGAAAGTAGTCGGAATTCTTCAAATACAAAATCGTCTTTATGATCAACGATGACATTCGAACCTCTTGAATGGTTTGGCCTTTTGGAACGGAAGACGATCGTATGATCTCAGGAGTTGTACACTGTGGTGCACAATAGACTGGACGACTTGAGGTTACTGTTTCATTCAATTTTTTCTTCCTTGTATCTGGAAATAGCACGTGCTTACACGTTTGTTTTTTGGGCATGGGTAAGTATACGCGACTTTCGAACGGAGACCGGATTCGAATCGGCGCGTTATGCGTTGGAAAAAGTTATCTCTAATTTCTAGAGAACTCAACACTCCTAAGAACACAGATGCAAGTGTCCTAAAGAAGCAATCAACAAATGTTCACAAGAAGAAGCCAGGACGAAAACCTACTCTTTCTGAATGCGACACGCGTTGGTTGATCAATATGGCATCAACGGGGAGTTAGCTGCAGATTGTGGGATTCCGGTTTCAAAATGAACTGTTGCTCGCGTTCTGAAGTTATCGGACCACATAGCTTCACAGGAGATGAGGCCCGCACCACGGCCAACACAGATTTATTGAGAGAAACAGTTCATCCTCGCTAGAACTGAGATGAGCAGAGATCGGACAGAGGCGCGTTCTTGGAACTTGCTTAGATTCATGAGAAATTTGTTTTTTCTATCTTTGTCCTTGTTCAGCTTATTTTTTCTAATGAGAAGGCATTCAACGGAGTTGGACCAGATAGAAACCGTTCGTATTGGCACGAACTACCAAAGGAACCACCACTTATGTTACGTAGGAACTTCGGCAACTTCTCGTTGGTGGTCTCGGAAGCGTTTTGTCGCGACACCACCGTTAGTATTCAATGTTGTAAAATGACAAGCCAGGACTACCAGTCACTTCCTGTGAGAACGTTGGTGCCATTCATCAAGAAGAACACCAGCAAAAACTACGTTGCAATGCAAGTCAACGCTTCTATTCACGCTGTGCGGCGTACTCTATCCTATTTGCAGTCCAATAACATCCCGTTATTGTCATGACCGGCATGCAGCCCGGACCTGAACCCCATCGAAAATATCTGGGGTGTATTAGTGCTGCATCCATTATTAGATAATCTTGTGTAGAAAACGGATTGATCGGACTTCAGGTGCTGTTTTTTC